GGGTCATCTAGGTGCACACCTGTCAATCATCTATACAGACACGTGTCCATCACCTAGGTCTCCACAGGTCTCTGTCCACGGGGGATCTGGTCCGTCCAAGGATCGAAGGCCACACATGGGCGTCCCCTGGAGAAGACCTCCGCGCCCAGCACCTCTGCAGCCTCAGCCCCTGCTGAGTGTCCCGCCTGTCCAGCGGAGTGACCGGTCCCCCCCCCCGGGGGTTGCTGACCACCTGATCCGACTTGGACTCAACTGTCCGCCCTTTCTTTCCTCTACTGATCTGCAAGGGCCACCTCCTCCTCGGGGCCGGACAATCCGCACCGCGCAGCTCCTGCGTTCAGGTGGCGCACGGACTGCCCGGGAGCGCCCGGGGCCGAACAGGGACGCTCTCTGTGCCCACCCGGCCGGCCGAGGGGGCTCCCGAAGCCCCTCTGGGGGTCATTGCAGGGGTCCCAAGGCACATGCCTCCCCTCTGCCTCGGGAGGTGGAGGAAAAGGCCTTCGCCCTATGAAGCAGGAAAGTGAAACCAAACAGACCAGCCACCGGGGCGCACGTGGCTCTCCCTTGGCAGAAGGAGCCTGTTAACATCCGCGCAGGGGCCGGGGTCTCTGCGTCCAGCGCAGACCCTGCACGGGCTCCCGGGCGGCCCCGGGGCGCCCTCTGCTCCCAGGACCAGCCTCAGGGACCCTCAGGGTTGCCCAGAGCAGGGCGTTGGCCCTTTGGCCCCGGGCGCACCCTGCGAGTGAATCTATCAGCAGGAAACACCTGCGCCCGAGGAGTGGGTGCGGGACAGAGAGTCCAACCCGCGGCCATGTGGGTGCTTCCCGTTCTCAGCTCCCCTGCACACCTTGGGGAAAAAAAGACCTGCACCCGTGTCATCCCAGGGGCTCAGGAGGCTGGGGCAGGAGGTTTGCAATTGGAGGCCAGCCTCAGCAACGCAGTGGGGAACTAACTAGGCAACTTGGGGAGACCCAGTCTGGAAATAAAATACCAGAAAGGGGCAGGGGATGGGGCTCGGCGGTACAGCGACCCCTGGGTCCAGTCCCCAGGTTTGGGCTCTGGAAAAATACGGACGGGGAGCCGCGCGCTCAGGGCGAGGGGGCCTGGAGCTGCTGTCTCCATTTCTGCGCGCAGAGCTGGGGACGCAGGAGAACCCCCCCCGCCCCCCCGCGCGCAGCTGGACCCCCCCCCCCCGCGCACTCTCTCTCTCCACCTCTCTCTCTCTCTCTCTCTCTCTCTCTCTCTCTCTCTCCCTACAATAAACAGCTCCCACTCCTGCTGTATCAATCTACACAAGTTCCCCCCCCCCCCCCCCAGGAGAACCCCCCCCGCCCCCCCGCGCGCAGCTGGACGCCTCTGCCTCGTGCACATTTAAATACCACGCGCCCTTGAACCCAGGCCAGAGCCGCGGGGCGCGCAGGTGATGGAAGAGCCAGAGCGCACGGCCTCTGCAGCTCCAGCGCGCCCCGCCTCCACCGCCATCGGCTGTTCTGGGTGCACCTGGCACCTGGTGGGCGGCCCCCTGCGCCCCGGTCCGCAGTGCTGGCTCTGCACTGAGCGGTCCCCGGTGGCTGGCCCAGAAAGGCCGCGGTCAGGGCCTGGGTAGGGGCGCG